TAATAAAGAAAAGAGAGCCCCAAGCCTTCATTGGTGTGATGTTGACTTAGTTCCTCAGTGTTCCAGCGCTCCGCAACGGGATTCCTCCTTTAGGTCTCTGTGTAATTCTTTAGATTGGTGAATTGGTTAATTGGTGTGACCCTCAGCTCCCTATTTATAACCATTGAAGCCATATCTCTCCATCAAATCTCCCCTAAATCTATATCTATTAATAAATCAAGATTGATTTGTTTCCACTTTCATTCCAAATATTACAAATATGTATCAATTGGCAAATCAAATCAAATCTTGGGCTAATTGGATTCGTAATTGGGCGCTCAAGCGCGCTACAGGGCGCTTTAGCGTCCTCTTGTGCATCAATTCAGCTTTGCTGCTTGCCCACATGCGCTCGAGCGTCCACCTGTGCGCTAGAGCATGCTCCTCGAATGTAAAATCTTGCAGTCTTGGGCGCTTGAGCGTGCTGTTGGGCGCTTGAGCGTCCTGGATTGCTCAAATTAGTTGTTTTCCCTGCCTAGACGCACTCGAGCATCTATTCTGGCGCTCGAGCGTGCTCTTCTGGCCCTTGACTTGTAGTATTTTGACTTCTTTTGGTCCATATTGAGCTGCAACTCTTTATCATGATTTATTCCTTACTTCTTAGCACCAATAAGTGTGGTTTTACCTTCAAAATGCAAAGAAAATCAAAACATCAGCTCAAATTCCTATCTTATGATTTATATGTTGTAAAACCTTGAATTCCATGCAATCTACTACATATTTCTCATATAATTTAGCCTAAAAACATGGTAAACCAAAGGTTTATCAGGTTCAAATATCTTACCCACTTGGTAGCAAGTGGTTCTGATTGTTTCTTGATATTAATGCAAATTTAGTGAAGAAAATTCGAAACTAAAATATTTTGCTTTTATTTCTCATTTTGTAACCCTTTGTTTAAGCTGATGGAAGCCACATAGCTGTTGCATTAATATTACAGGGTCATTTAAATGGGCTAAAAATGAGCCAACCCGCGAGCCAATTTTCGAGCCAACTCGCGAGCTATTTTTTCAAGCCAACCCACGAGCTATATTTTTTAGCCAACCCTAACCCGACTCAGGTCGGGTTGGGTTTGGTTTTCTGAGCAAACCCTAACCCGGCTCGTTTTTTTCGGGTTGAATGCAAGTTGGGCCGAGCCGGTCGGGTTGGCCCGTTTTGCCAACCCTACACCAGTATCATCATCATCATTATCAAGGCTTGCATCCACAGCAAGAATATTAAATATTAAAATTTTGTTAGGTTTAATATACATATTAAATATTAAACATCACAAACATCACCTACAGCGGCATCCTCCGTCTTATCATCGTGGTGAAGGGGGACTTCAAGTGGTTTGGGTGCTTTCTTCCAGTACCAGACACCCACGCGACTCTACATAATCCCACACTGCTTAAGTAGACGCTCACTGAATATGGCATTCCATCTTGTGGCAGTCTTCAGCATCTGAGTTTGCATAGGCACACCAAACCTATGCAAAATCTTCTTCACTAGGAATGCAAAAGGCAATTCAGCCTTCATAGACTTCGAAGCCTTCCACATCAGGATACATATGTAGTGCCTCTGATTCACCTTAATATGGTGAAGGATGTCCCACAAAACACAAAGTCACCCTCTAGCACCTTCGAGTGATTATGCTTGTGCTGGAAAATAATATGTGCCACACAACATAGTGTAATATGTGGGCGGGCACCAAGAGATTGCTCATAGGATAATGAGCAAAATGATCAGCCTTTGCATCAGCCTTCCTGGTCTCCGCAACAATCGCCTCCCGATCATAACCACCAAAAATATTATGGGAGTCTCTGTCATACGTGGCTGCATCTGGTATATCATCAAAGTCAAAGTTGAGGAGCTTCGTCTAGATAGGGGCAGTCATGACAATATCAATCAGGACAATATCAATCAAGCAGACGCGGGAAGTCAGCTTGCCATGTAGGTAATGGAGGGTTCTGGTAGAAAGCCCTCACCATAACCTTCGAATACGGGCATTTCATCTCCGCAAGCACCAAGAGATGTGTCTCATCAAGAAGTGGCACAATGTCAAACCGCTCCATGTTGAAGAATGCCAAATCCAGTGATTTCGCCTCACATATTTTGCAGCTCATGAAGGACTTCACAAACTTATTGTGTGTTGCAATGTCATTCTCAAATAAATATCCAAAAGGCATGTCAGGAGCCTCATGAATAGCTGCCTCTAGCTGAGAGGATAGGACCCATCATGTTGGCGCTTGGTCCTCCACTTGATAGCCACCTCTTTCTTCGAACCACATCTATCAGCCATTTTTTTACAATGTCAAACTGAAAAAACACAAATGCACCTGTATTAATACCGGTCAAAATATAATTAACACTCAAAGATCAAACATCACTTCGTGGACACAAAAAATTAAAGCCACTCTCAAGAATCATAAATTGAATTAGCAAGCAGTCCAAGCACTAGCAAAATGCAAAATGTAATCAACGATTAAACTATATTTGGGCACTTGAAAGGTACCCACAAACGAAAATCAGAATTTGGGTTAGGGTTCATCAAAAATTAAAAACTAAAAAAAATACCTTTTTTCGTTTTCAATCGATTGAAGGAAGAAATGGTGGTGGACAAAGGATGATCGTAGAGGAAGAAACTGGTCCAACCAGTGTGGTCAAGGAACCAATGATTTTGCCTTTTTTGCAACTCTACCCAAGTATCCTTTTTGTAGATTTTGAAAAAATGAAGGCTACTGGGTTTTAAAAAAATCCTACTCGCAAAATCTACTTGGGTATCCCTCTCCCTACATGAGTAAATAATTCAATTTTTTTCTCGGATTATGAACAATACCTGGGTAGCCCACCTGCACGCTCGGGTAGTGTTTTTTTTCGAAGGATACTCGGGTATTTTACAGGGTCAACGTTCAAACAAGAACAAATGAGTAATATCTTTTGGTAGAAAGGCAAAATAGTAATTTTTTATTAATTAAATGCTAAAATAGTCAAAAAAATCTTCCAAAGTCCCACGAGCTGAAATCTTGATCATGAAGAAGCTGCTGCTGAAGCACTCTCGAGGATGGTTAACAAAGTTGTTGAAGTTGCTCATTTAATGGAGCATGTTTCCCCGGACCCACCAGATGGAGAAGGAGAAGAAAATGAACAAAACGTGCATCAATCCCCTTAAGATGCACAAAAGGTTTCTCATGCTACTCAAAAACTTTCTGAAGTAGAATTTCAAGTTCCTAAAGCTTCACCCAGTTCACAAACATGTCTTATCATTGTATATTTGTACATGTAAGACACCAAATCGATGTGTGATACCAAATTAGCATTTATTATTAGCTTTCATTAATAAAATGATTCGATTGTTATCACTTAATCCTTATTAGTATCCATAAGAATTCGTATTTTTTGGCTTTGTTTTTTCTTAGCATTTATTAGATTTACCTTTTTAGCATTTTAAATCCTTGTGATAAAAGTTCAAATGACTGAATGAAATATAAAATAAAAATCAATTCCGCTTACCAAAAAAAAATAAAATCACTTCCTTCTAATAATTCTCTAATTCTTTTCTTTTTCAGAATGAATCCCTCATTCTCGTCCCTCTCTTTCTCTCTTCTTCTTTGTCTTATCTCTTGCAATTCTGACAACAGTAGAATTATCATTTAATAGTACCCTTCTACCATTTGAACTGTGAAAGAATCAAACCATCTTGGACTATCCAAGAGCAACTTGGAAGGATGAATTCCAAGTAAAAAAAAAAAGTTGAAAATGAATCAGATATCTATAAGAAAGGTGATTGATGATTGATTCTTTAAGGTACTCTCTGCCATTGAATAATTCAAGCCTAAATTCATGCAATTTAAAGCTTGGTGGGTGCTGAAATATGACAATGAACTCAAAGCTCGTATACAAAGACTTATTTATAGACCCAAATCATTGCAAATCAGGTATCACATTTCTAAAAATCACATTACTGTCTCTTCAGTTTCATGATGTTATTTATGCACTTTTAATTATCCATTTATGATGACAAGGGGAGAAAGGAAAAGAATAGGAATTCCCTCCTGAATACCCTACCCTACGGGTTAGTTGTTCTTAGCATTCAAAGTAGCTTTTTGAACTGAAAAAAGAAAAAAGTTTTGTGATATATTGCATTCATTAGTTGTTCTACATCTGTCAAACTTTGTAAGATGATGTACTAATCACTTGTCCTTTCAAACTTGAGAATGCTTGTGTGTCAAAATGGGTTCATAAAATTAAGAAGGCACAATTCAACCACTCTTATCATGCAGAGAGGCATCTTTATTTTAAAAATGTTCATGGTATGTAACTAATCATAAATATGTTTTCAGGCTGGATGTTACATTAGTCTGTGAATTAAGTCATATTGGTCATTCATTGGTGAATAAATTTATAATTATCGTTAAAATGAGATATAAACAAAAAGAAAATATTATTATTTGAACTTTTGCATGAAAAGGTTAGTAAAGAAAAAAAAATTCATATAACTTTTTAACTTAGAGGGTGAGCCTTGGATAGAGGTAAGATTATTACTTTTGAAGGAAGGTCATGCTTCAAATCTAGAAAATAGCCTTTTTGTAAAATTACAAGGATAAGCTACATGCATTCAACCCTCACTTCAATCTTTGCAAGTTGGAAAACCTTGTATACCAGGATTTACCCTTTTTCAAGACTTTTGAATTTTACTTTTAATTATTTACATAATTTATTTTTTTTACCGTAATTCTTTCAAATTAAATCTTAATTTTGTAATGGTAAAAGTAGCACTTGTCATTGTTAGATTTTAGAAACTAATAATAATAAAAGTTTTCCTTTATAGTGGTTATAATTCACTGTATTTATATTTTAATTTCAACAGTCAGATTAATAAGAAATTTAGTTTAACCTTTAAAATGTCAGTGCTAATTTTTCATGATAAGATGATGTAATGGAGAATGGAGACAAGACAACGACATAATTCTCAGGAATTCAACCTTAGATATTTTATCATTCCTACGTAACATTAAATTAAACTGCAGTGTCAGTCTTAGGTACATGGAATTAGACTGCAATGTCGTTCTTACATATTACACAACCATAAAAACTCATGGACCATATTATACAACCGTTACATAACGCAATAGGCCAGTTTCTACTTTATACACATTACACAACTATAATTTGCTTATACTCATTGGCGATGTCCTTCTGGCAGATCAACCACTTTGTGGAAGGGCACTGTCCTTTGAGGTAAAGATCCATCTTCTTCATCATCATCAAATTCCAATACATAACTGTTCCAATCACCCAGAGAGTAAACAATCATGATACAGTGACAAACATACCAGTTGAACTAAAAATACGAAGGGACCAGACTCCAAAAGGAAAGTTATCTCTTTTGTTTTACTTTATATTAGATTCCTAATACTTGCTCTAACCTGTTTATTAACAATGCCAATTCAAATTCTGGCAGACTAGCACATTATAAATTGGTAAGATTCTAGAATCTCATATTGGAGATGTAATATTCAAATTATTCATGTGTCTTCAATTAACAGTTTTAAGCTTTGGAAAAAATTGATTATGACATGGTATCAAAAGCCTCTATGAGCAAGTGGTGCAGAGTTTGATCCTTATCGCCTCACTTAATAGCTTAACATTTTGGGACAGTTAGTTCATGACATATGAAAAGTAGAGTAAACAAAAAGGGATGTGCAAAAAAAATTTGTTTTCATTATTTCCAATGAAATCAGAAACTTATATAAACCTATTTATATCCAACTTCAATAATCTTTACGGTATTTGGAGTTAAGGATTGTAGGCAACACAACGTAAGGGAAGGCTAGCCCTTTTACCTTCCATAAATTTATAAAGAGAAGCCTAATAATTCTCTTAGTTACTAAAGAACAGAAAAGACAAAAAAGACAAGCACTCAATACTTTTTAAAATTTCAAAACTTCTTTCTTTCCCTCTTACGTAACAAGGAAGATTATTAAGCTGGTCTTTTCAAAAGATTTAGCATTTCTCATCTATAAATCTTGTTTCACATATGCCAAGCACCATAGCTGGATAAATGAATGTTTGCCAGTTGACATGTCAGAAAAGCTTATGGTAAAAATAGATCATGTTGCCATTGATTTCCTGAGACAAATAATATTTAGAAAAATGAATTCCATGAAGCCTAACAGATTATACTTACTCATCTGTCTTCCTCTGCACAATTGTGAAATGATGGAGATTACCCCAGAACATGCACAATAATAGTACTGGTTAGTATAATGTCAGAGTCACCAAAGTAATTACTAGCAAGGATTTATAGTTCTACAAATTAATGGAAATAAGGAAAAATCAAGAAGTCATTCCACTCTGTCAAGGAAAAGAGAGAAGTATTACCCTGCGATGGCCGCCATGAACAACTGTTGCTTTATAAAGTGCAGTGGTTCCTGGATAGACTGCCAAAACATGTTTTCCAGGAGGGAAATCTTGGGCACTAGAAGGATCATTACTCTTGGGAAAAGGAATGATATTTCCCATGGGAAGCTTGTATTGTCTGAATGCAGCAGAAAGAACCAACAAAAATATACACGCCATTCAAATGCAGTAACAAATACTTCACAGATTTCCCTACTAATACTTGAAGACAGTGAAAAGAAATTCCAGTGAAGAATGGATCCCCTCATGTGATATGAGGTCATGTGAGAGGATTTCGGCAATTTCAATACAAATCAACAGCGATAAGAGAATGATTAAGATAAAGGATGAAAAAAGGATCAACGTTTATTTGTATATGGATAGCTAAGATCCTCTCACATGGTTTTATGTCACATAAGATGATCCATTCCCAATTCCAATTTAAGTTTGAAGTAGCAACTCAAGCAAGGCAAGTACACAATATGAGCACTCCAGTTAACATAATAAATTTCCAAATAGGTTACCTTGGGCCACTGCCCTCTTCATCGTCACCAGGTTCCTCATCTAGTACTTCAAATCTGTAAAATCATGTCACAAGAATAAATAAAATAATGAAAAGGGCAATTAGAAATAATTAACATCCAAACTGGTACTATTCTTCACGTAATTATTACAAACCATAAACGAGCAACAGTAACTTGTACACTGAAAAAAAATTGACCTATTCAAACAGGTTAAAGTTGTCAAATAACAAACTCATTCAGTTAGGTGCAGTCAGGTAGATTCAATCCTAACAAGGAGCTTTTGATTGACCTAAGTAAAGCAAGCACAGGCCTATTAGCATATATCAACGTTTTGCATTATATTTTGCATAGTGTACCAGTAATTCAAACAAAGAAATAACGAATAAAGAGGAAGAGAAAAGAAACGAATCACTGAATTATCAACTCCACTTTGATTTAACGTAAAACAGAGTCATACACATTTCCAGGACTGAATATAACTCATGAAAATGAATTAAAGAAATACTAATCTCCCAATCAACTACCCGATTGTAAGATGAATTACAATGGAACCATGACCCTTCACATCAACTGAGATACACCCCTCCCAGTGCCACTACCCACACTTTACTCAATATTCTCCACCCCTATTCTCATCCCACTAACTAACTTATATTCCTGAATCTTCAATCCCACTCACCCCAATATTCCCCTCTCCATTAATAGCCTGCCACATGTCCATTCCAGTAACTAACTTCAGTTTGTTATTAGCTCCTCTCCCATGGCCCCAATGCTTGTAAACTTTGTCATAGAATTTGAGAGGCCCATCAACACCCCTCCCTCAAAATTCACCTTGTCCCCAAGGTGAAAGGAAGGAAATTGAGCTTGAAAGTCTGTTAAATCCTCCCAAGTTCAGTCACAGTCAGCCAACTCCTCCCATTGAACCAAAATTTCCACTTGACCATCAAGTAAGCATCTAGCTTTAAGAATAGCAGCTGGTTGAACTTGTAACTCCAATGAATCAAACAAACAGTGAGGCAAATCTAACACAGGAATAGAAGGATGAACAGCTCTTTTTAATTGTGAAACGTGAAAAACAGTATGAACCTTTGAATATGAAGGCAACTCTAATCGATAAGCAACTGGACCCACGCGTTCCTTGACCTCAAATGGCCCATAAAATCTCGGGCTCAGTTTCTGATTTACCCTCTTAGCTAAGGACTTCAACTAGTAGGGCTGAATCTTTAAAAATACCTTTTCTCCTACTGCAAATTCTTCTTCCCTGCATCCCTTGTCAGCTTGTGACTTCATTCGTTGCTGGGCTTGACATGAATTTTGTTTTAATTCTGCCAAGATGGCATCACATGCAACCATCCATGTATCCACTGCTGCTACTAGAGTGCTTCCATGTTCAAAGGAGATAATGGTGGGTGGGTCACGACCATATAAAGCGCGAAATGGAGTCATTTGAATAGACCGGTTGTAAGAGGTATTGAACCAGAATTCTACCCAGGAAAGCCATTTTGCCCAACCCCACGGATGGCCTTTGGCAAAGCTACGCAGATAGGTCTCCAAAGTACGGTTAACTACCTCTGATTGACCATCCGTTTGTGGATGGTAAGCAAAACTAAACCTTAGTTTAGTGTCTGTCGGCTTGAATAACTCGCCCCAAAAATTATTGATAAAGACCATATCACGATCCAATACAATCGAGTTTGGAATACTATGTAAACGTATCAGCCCCCGTAGATTTCAACAGTCCACTAATGAAATCCATTGAAGCCTCTTCCCACACTTGTTGAGGAATTGGTAATGGTTGCAGAAGTCCAGCAAGTTTCAAATTGTCATATTTCTATTGTAGGCAAATGCCACCAGCCCGAACAAATGCTGCAATATCCTTAGTATCTCTTTCAATAAAAAATAGTTGCCACTTTCTTGAAGGTTCTTAGTTCCCCTAAATGACCGCCCCAAGGAGATGAATGAAATTCCTATGAAATACCAGGAATATGTGGAGTAGATTTAAAAAGAACCAACCTGTTACAAGCAACCCTTTAACACATGGTAACCCAGCTGAGAATTGGCATCCAACAACACCTCAGGTAGAATAGTTTTCGTGGTTGGATCATTAAGCACTTCTTCTGACGGTTTCTGCAAATTTGAACCGGTGACTAAGGTAGTTCCTTGCAGTCCATGACGCGCGACAAAACATCAACAGCAGTATTTTCAGCCCCTGATTTATATTGTATCTCGAAGTCATACCCCGTTAACTTAGCAATTCATTTTTGTTGGCCCTCCACCATAAGCCTCTGTTCCGTCAATATTTAAGACTCCTTTGATCCGTTCGGATTAAAAAATGGCGCCCCAGCAAATAATGACGCCACTTATGAACAGCAAAGACAATAGCCTTTAATTCTCTCTTGTAAACTTACAAGGATTTATCTTTTTCAAAAAATGCTTTACTAAAGGAAAGCAATTGGGCATTCTCCTTGCATCAATACTGCTCCCATGCCAATGCCAAAAACATCTGTCTCCACCACAAAGGTGTCATCAAAATTGAGGAATGCCAAGGTAAAGAGCTTCAACATTTCTTCTTTTAAGGCGTCAAATGACAGTAGTGCTTCTTCTCCTCATGAAAAATTATCCTTCTTGAGCAATTGCGTTAACGGCTTGGCAATATGACCACATTGTTTAACGAAATGCCTATAGTATCCATTTAGCCCTAAAAATCCTCTGAAACCCTTCAAATTCTTAGGAACTGGCCACTATTGTATTGCCTCTAATTTTTGCGGGTCAACCTTCACACCCTGCTGAGAAATCAGATGACCCAAACATTCCAGCTCACCTTTTGCAAACGTGCAATTTTTATAATTGGCAGAAAATCGATTTTGCCTCAGGATGTCTAACACCACCCTTAAGTGTTCCACATGCTGATCCACACTGTTACTATACACTAGAATGTCGTCAAAAAAAACTAAGACGAATTTCCATAAATAAGGTTTGAAAATAGTGTTCATTAAGGATTGGAAGGTAGAAGGTGTGTTTTGCAACCCAAAAGGCATTACGAGATACTCGTAGTGACCATCATGTGTATGAAAAGCGGCTTTTTCTATATCCTCACCTCTCATTCGGATTTGATTATATCCAGATTTCAAGTCAAAATTTGAAAAAAATTCCAGCACCATTTAATTCATCCAAGAGTTCATCAATTATTGAAAGAGGAAATTTATTAGGAATAGTTACCTTGTTCAAGGCTCTTTAATCTGCGCAGAACCTCCAGCTCCCGTCCTTCTTTTTCACCAAAATCAAGGGACTAGAGTATGGACTGCAACTCGGTCTTATCATCCCAGTTACAAGCATCTCCTTCACAAACTTCTCAATCTCCTCTTTCTGATAATACGGGAAACGGTAGGAGCGTATGTTGGCAATGTTTGCACCTTCTTTCAATATTATTTTGTGGTCACATTCCCTCGGAGGTGGCAGCTCTAAAGGTGGTTGAAATACATCTTCATATTGCAGAAGCAGTTCTGAAATTTGTGGGACATCTATCTGTGGGTTTGATAGCTCCATATTAGATTATATTGTACGCTTTAGCTTAGCTTTTATTGGTGTATCTTGTCTAATATATTTCTAGATGAATAGAATTCATCCTCTCTTTCTGTTTGTAATTAGTTAGTCTGTTAGAGTGTTTGTTTCAAATATGTGTGAGTCTTAAGCTCTATAAATAGAGCTTTCTTGTATCTCTTTGTTAGAATATCAATACACATCAATAGAATGTATTTCTTATCTTCTCTCTCTCTTTAAACTCTGATACTCCAAAGCACAGTACCCAAGTTCCACATAGTACCTTTCCGTCCTTTTCTTCCACGAACGAGTCATTCTTTTATACGATACCTTGCTACAAAACAACTCAGGGTCTCCTTTCAAGGTTACAACCTTCCCCTGCCAAGGAATTCGAAGCAGCAACTCTCTGAAGTTAGCTTGGATGTCCCTCAATTCCTCCAACCACGTGAAACCCAGCACCAAATCGACACCATTAAGGTTGAAAACAAAGAAATCTTGGGTTACTGACAAGTTGGGTAGTTCGAGTGTCACTCCCTTGCAGATTCCGTTACCTGGTAGCCATCCCCAACCTCCGCTCTAAAAGACTTCCAACTGAACATCGGCAGACTCAAAACGTCCATTGTGCTTTCACCAATGAAGTTGTGAGAAGCTCCTATGGCTAACAACAACAACACCTTTTGGCCCAAAACCTCCCCCCATAGCTTCAAAGACCTGTTGGCAGTGATCCCCACCATGCTTTGAACACTGAATTGGAGAGTTTCTTTTTGTTCTCCTTCTCCTTGACAAACCTCTTCCTTTGTCGGTACCTCCACTCCTTCACCCAAAATCATGACATGCAATTGTGGGTCCTGGCAAACATGACCTGGACCGAAGGGTCCATCACAACGGAAAAATAAATTCTGACGCCAACGATCATCTACCTCTTCTAAGCGACGGAATCGGTTCCCATGGCGACCGTCTGTCGCGTTGGCCATCGGCTTGGTCTGCTGAGAGGACACTCCTTGCTCTGTTGTAGCACTCATTGTTCGATTAGGGTTCGAATTGCTGGATGATGAGGATTGATTTGGGGCACCCGTAGGTGTGGTGGCTTGATGGGCTATAACAACAGGCCCACTCCTGCCCCATCTTGATTGCCCCCTCCCCTGTTTGTTAGTGTGGGCCTCCCACTAATACTATTGCCACTTCCAGGCCCAAATTCGTTTTGGCCCATGTTCACTTCTCCACTTCCCAGCACTGTTTCTCGTTCTTCAACCCATTGAGCCAGCAACATCATTCGCCCAAGATCATCAGGTTAATGTAGACGAATCTCCGCTCTAATTTCCAATTTCAGCCCTATCAGAAAGGCAGCCTGCGTCATCTCTTTATCAGCATGCCTCAATGGAGAATCGAGCTCCAATGCTCTTGAACCATCAGATTTCAGTGAAACTCATTGACAATAACTACTTTTCCTGGAATCAAATCGTCAAACCACAGAGATCGGCAAACAAAGATGTTGGCTCAATGTGTGAAAGAATGTGAGTTTGAATTAGGGAGGATGACCCGAGAAGTGAGTTGTTGGGGAAGCAGGCTGGGAGGTGAAAAATTGGGCCTTACTGCACAAGGAATCAGATATACACAAATTGGGCCTGGTCGAAATGGGCCTCAAACTAATAATCTGAAAACAGGACCCAACAACTAGTGACCCATTGTCCATGGCCAGCATTATTCATACAGATCCTAATCAAAATGAAGAGGAGGCTAGGGGGCAACGACGACGACAAATCCGAGAAGGGTCGCGACAACGAATGGCGGCCAAGATCCAAGAGGGAGACCCTGTTTCCAGCGACTCACACAAAAAGAAATGGAGGACAGAAACTTGGGTTTCAGGTGCGATGCTCCTTATTTAAGGTGCGTAGCGGCAGAGCTACAATTGCTCATTGGCAGCATTTGTGCGGACTCAATAATGGTGGGAATGGTTATAAGGTTGGAAGTCCATAGGTTTGAGAAGGAATACAGCTTGTTTTCTCTAGTATGCCTGCGATTCAAGATTTTTTCTTTTTAATTTGGGAGGAATGGATGCTATTTTGGGGTATATGTGGTTAAAGAGTATACCATGGGAGGGGGACATGGTGGAAATTAGGGGTAATCCCAAGTTGTCTAGGTATTGGATTTCAGCCAAGAAGTTGGGTAAGGCATGGAAAAAGAGAAGAGAAGGATATTATATTGAATTGGGATATTTGACAGCTGAGTTAACAAAAGTTGAAGCATCGTCATCATCTGTTTCGGAAGTGCTACAAAAAATTTCAGGAGTATTCCAAATTCCAACAAGCTTGAGAGCTTCCCTATTTCCTCTCCTAATTCCCCAATTACAAATAACAATCAGCATGAAGAAACCCCACCCTAAACATCTATATAACTAATTCCTAACTAATGGGCTTGGATACTTTATTAAAGGCCCATCAATATTTCCTTTCAAAATTCACCTTGTCCACAAGGGGAAGAAAAAGGATAGGTAATGTGGGAAAACTTTCACCCGGATCTAATTGTTTGAAACATACAGATCTCGTTGTGCTTGAGGCATAAGAACTGTCATTGGCCACATTTAATTGTATTTTTCCTCTTGTTGTCTTGGAGTTGAATTTTTCCTCTTGTTTGTTATTACTTTTCTGCAATTTAATTGTATTTTCTATCAATACCATTAGTTTCTGTTTTGGGTTCCATCAATATCATACTAAATGTGAAGCTAAAACATTGTTTTCAGCAATAACATAAAAAGTACCCCATAGCATAGAGAAGACAAACAAAATTAACCTTCAAATTATATTGGAAAGAAAATGCTGACATTTCATCCACAATAACCCATGGTTTGGGTGAGAAGAAAGAAAGCAACAGAAAATTTTGAATTTTTTCTTCTTTATTTTTCTCTCTTATTTACTTTTCTCTTCAATTTTTTCTTCAACCAAACAAGACCAAATTTCAAACTTTCAAAACTTTATTCCTATGGAGTTTCTTTCTCTCAATCCAAACATAGGTAAGAGTCTACATCAAATATAGGTGAACATAATCACCTGATCGAGAGGACATTTTCCTTTTCTCTTTTCTCTCATCCAAGCTGTTAAATACATTATTAAATCAATACAATAAAAATACAAATAATCTTTTTATATTCATTCCAGAGAACTATGCTAAGCATATAAATTTATCATAACTCAAAATTGTTATCAAACAACATTCCATCACTGGTAACAAAGTGCATTTCCAAATTATAAAGTAGGTCCTCAAACCAAGCTCGATATTAAGAAAGATTGTAAAGAACCAATTCAACCTAAAAGCTTGAGCTATTAAGTGAAGGCCTTTTTAATGGTTTTATATATCTCTAACACACCCCCTCACAAGAGAGCCATTGGGCTTGAAAGGTGAATGATGCATTAGGCCTAGCCTACCTATACTAAGAAATTCCACACAAAAAATGGGAGGCGGCGAGGATCGAACTCGGGACACCGAAGCTCTAATTCTATGTAAAGAATCATTTCAACCCAAAAACTTAAGCTATTGGGTGAGGCTACATTAATGGTTTTATATATCTCTAACAAAGATAGAATAGGCTAAATATACACTTGATTCACAATATAATACTCTGTGCTAAAGCTAATAACTTCAAGGCATCAATGTGGTAAAATATTTTCTCAAAAATTAATAGGGATAATTACATTGACCTCCACTAAGGTTAGCACTTATTACACCCAAAAACCCTCTTGTTTGGAGAATTACACCCACATTCCTTATGTTATGTACCGTTCTTACATCCCTACACCCTTCATTGTATAAGAAATTACACATACCTCCCCTATGCTATGTACAAACTCAGACAAAGTCCCCTTATAGATAATAAAGTAAGGAAGGTGGGTATGATTTCCCAAACTATGGTGTCAGCATAATAAGCACTAATTTCAGGGGAGATATGTAATTACTAATTACCCCGAATTGAATGGATGTGAACAGATTTTATTGATAAGTTGAACTCAACACTTGACTACTTAATTGCAGAATGTATGCTTACTCCTTTGATTCCTTATCAAAATGAATCACTTTTACAACAAACCATTCATCCTTATCAGCATTACGTGGTGTGACCCTAGCTGCTACCTGAGAAGCAGAAGCAAAAGCGAGAACAAATTAACTTAATGAAATATAACTCCAGATGTTTCCATGTATGAAAAATAATATCTATAAAAAGAAACAGAGCATTCAATATTTACTGATTTATATTGATCAAACTTCAAGGAAAATGCATACCTGTTCACCCTTAAGACTGGCAAGGTACTCAAGTTGATTTCGTCTTGAAATGTCTGACTCGGTCTTTACTCGTTTCCTTTTCTGCTCATTACCTTCTGTAACATATGTACTGTCAACTACACAAGGTACATAAAACTGACATCTAATTGGAACTGAAGTCATGAAAATATAATTTACATTATTTTAACATAATAGCACATAGCTCATTAAATTTATTAGATTCAACTAAATTATTTCATGAACCATTTTCTCATATTTGTACGTATTTTGATTCTCATGTTTGCATAGCTTCATATCATCAACTGAAGCAGTAAAAAGACATTACCACACTGTTAAGGAAGCAATGCATCACCATGAATTAGTCGGGTTTAGCAACAGGATGCAAAAGCACTCCTGCTAATGAGTTATTAAGTTTTGCTAATCAACACTTCCAAATCATGATCTTTGTAGATATATATCCGGAATTGGTTTCCATTCTCCTTCCACCATATAGGTGGAGAAGAAATAAATTTAATATATATGAATCAATTAATATACAACTTTAAATTTTACGTAAAATTGCACACTAGCATGCCCTCCCTCCCTCACTTTTTCTCCTGCACGTAGCTGGACTATACATGATTGACCAAAATGGCAGCAGAGATGTCAATTATATTGATGAGTATCCAAAGCGGTAGACTTTACCTTTTCCTGGAAAAGAAAAAGAAAAAAACACGAGAGAGAAGAGAAAGGGAGAAATCTTAAACAACCACAAAATTGCAACATCCTCCAACAAATCAATAGAAACTTGGCATATAGTTGTCACAAAATGGTCAAACAAATTATCTCTCATTTTTTTTTTCTTCCCCCAGAAAAGCTAAAGTCTAATGCTTTAGATACTTGCTTCAGTTGTACAATCTTGGTCAATCAGCAAAATGAATAAGAAGGAAATATTAAGAGAACAACATAATAAAAGATTCAGAACACTTACAAGTATTTATTTCATGGATGAATTCTATATGCATAACCTTAAGTACAGAAGCAATAATAGTTTAAGCAAAAGACAAATTTACTAATTACAATTTTGAGACAAACCTATTCTTCTTCGTGGTTGCCCTTGTGGTCCCGGAGGCAGTAGGGTATCAAGTTGGTTTATCAACATACTGGAAATACTACAACCACACACAACATCAAGAATCATATACGCTATAGAATGCCTAGCCTGAACAGAGTATAAAACAGTTACTCCAATGTTAAAAACTGTGTGTTGATGATTTTCAAACGGTGTAAAATGAAGTTCACATAAAATGCTTCGGAGCTACAAAGTAAACATACTTTGCTTCATTATCAGAAAGATCTTTGGCTTGAGTGTACAACACTTTAAGCCTTGCTAATGAGCTATCCCCAGGCTTCTCTACCACTTCAGGAGCTGCATTGAGAAGAGAAGAAACTATTAACAACCAACTAAAGAGACACGAATAGAGAATACAAGAATAACTGAATATCAGATCTTGATTCCCAAATATGGAAACAAGTAGAGCCATTCAAGTCTTACATCCACTTTAAGAGTCTATGGCTTTGTTAGATTACAGACATTCCACCCCATGGTTCCCAATGATTGACTAACTCAAATCTCTAATATTCAAAGTTCATATCCTAAAGCCAGAAAATTAAAACTATAAGCAAGTGACATTTAATTTTCAACTAATCATGCCTAGTGAATCATTTTCATAAAGTCACTAAAATCACAGAAAGAATTGTCAATTTTCTGATTTCAATAAGTTTTCCAATAATCCTTTTTTTAAAATTGAACCAAATTAACATTTGCTTTCCATAACAATTTGGATATTATATGAATTACCCTTTTAAGCCAATGTAGTTTGCAAACAGAATCAAATACAAGATACATGAGAAGTATGCATATCAAAGAAACATTGATTATAGAAGACCCGAAAACACAAAGTTATAATTTTATTCATCAACCAGCTAAAAGAAAAAAAAAAAATTCATTTCCTCTCAACAAAATGCTTAATGGAAGATTGAGGAATGATGAAGTTATGATTAGTTATGAGGAAAAATCATAAATAATTTCCAACACTCATTAACATGATGAACATTCTAGAAGGTGCACAAAAAGGATGAAGTTGCATCATTTAAAAAAAGAATAAATAAATAAATAAAAGGCATGAATAGAAAGAAGGAGAGAGACTCACTATTTTGAAGCTTCTTGTGAAGCTTGTTGATTTCCACCAAAACATCCTCCTGATCTTTCCTTACCCGATCCAGATCTTTCGAGCTCTCCACGATTGCTGCAATGTCTGGCGACGACATCGTTTTAATCAGGAAAAAATATATATATATAAATTAAAACCAGAATCCAGCTACGATTCAACTCTCAGTTCTCCTTCCGACGTTGCTACCATACCACTTCGAAATCGAAACTGCAATCTCCAATTTTATTTTTTTTCCCAAAAAAAAAAAGGGGGGGATATTTTGTCTTCCTCTGTTTTATTTATTTATTTTTAAGAATTCAATTTTTGAGTGTGGGATTTTCAAATAGTCACTTCTAGGCTTCAAGCCATTATGATCGGTATTCATTTCATTGGACAATTAATAACTTATTTAAAAAATAAAATCACAAATACATGAATGTTTTAAAAATAGAAACTAAATAAATTTGATTTTTGTTATCTCATGTAACGTGTACAAAAATAAGTAAAACTCATTAAAAAAAAAATTCATCTATTTTATTATGTGTTGCATAAAATAAATTATCTCACGTAAACAAATCTATCAAACAATAAATGGTGGGAGAAGTCTCCTGGCGAAGCCACGTCGTTGTCTGTAGTCTGTACTATGTAAGGTGGTAATTTTTTGCGGCTTTTTTACGAAATAAATTTTAAAATACTTATATTTTATTATTTTGGCCTTGTTTAAAAAAAAATTTCAAATAGACTTTTTAATATTAAAAAATTGATTTCTCCCGAACTGATTTCTCACTGTGTATATATATGTGTGTTAGGAAGTTGGTTTTTCATAAAATAAATTTCCAGTATAAATAAAAAATATTAAATTAATTCCTTAAATTAAATAATTTTTTTCTTATTTGTAAACTCTAAATTATAAACGCCGGGTGCTAAATATATATTTAAAAAACAATACTTATAATAAGACATTAAACATAGTTTAAAAAAAGGTAAGATATGATGTTTTAAATTAGGACACAATATTGCAAAGAAAAGGAATTTCTTTAAGAAAATATATTATATATTATTCATGTTACAAGAATTATTATAGTAAATATTTTTCTTTTTCTTTTTTTGCAAAGAGGTTATCTTTTTAAATAACACAACTTTGTGTTATTTTAGGTAAAATAATTGTGTTTTAAGTTTTTTACATTCTCTTTACTCTATTTTTTTTTTCTCTTTCTTTCCAGTTCTGTAGAGAAAAGATAATGTAAAACATCACCAAACATGCTTCACATTATTTTACTTAAAATGACGTAAAGTTATTATTTAAAATTTTAAATGATAAATATTTTTTTTCTTTTGCTTATCTCCTTCATTTATGCATATTCCATACCATTTTGAATGAATTTTTCTTTATAATACCGATCTCGTTACAAATACAAATAGATTGTGAGCTTAATGACAAGTTCTTTGTTATGACACAAATCTAGACTGTGGTACTAAGACTAAATATCCTTTATTTCGCACAACTCTGAATACATATAAGTCAACATTAAATTTTTTTCCAACTTGTACACTAGGGACACTAATTGCGTGTAATCTAAATCAATTTAGGTACACACAACAACATGTAAATAGAGGAATTTAAGTGCTTTAAATATGTCACAATCACATAACATATTATTTAGATTAACTTCCGAATTTCCTCTCAAGCTGTCTTTCTAGTGAGTTAACTAACTCTACCACCAGAAAAGGAATCATGTGAAACATGGAGTCATGGTTGTTAAAATCACGATTTATTATAATGATTTTATGTTTTTATGATATTTTTTTTATCAAAACGATTTTATCAATATTCCAAATGCTTTTATATTTTTACGATTTTTTACATTACAATTTTACGTTTTACGATTTTTTAATCCCCTTTCAATTTTATTTAAAATCTCAATTTTGAATACATTGCTAGGAGTAAACGAATTATTATAGGCCACGTATTAGGAATTCTTATTTTTGAGTAAGAATTGTCATATGTAATGGCCCGAAATTAAAATAAACATGGAGTCGCTATCAATTTTATTTTATTTGGAAGAATTAGAAAAAAAATTATTACAAACTAGTCTTTAAAATTTTAGATCAAGGTTCAGGAGTTTAATTATGTGCAAGGAAGCGTGAAAACTTAGGGTGCGCATGACAACCTTTTCGGAATTAATTTTTTTTAATATCTGTTCCCGGGAACAAAAATGGATAGAAAACTCGTTTGGTAAAACCGGTTTATTTTTTTGTTCCCGGGATGAACCGGATTAATTTTTGTGCTAAGGAACAGAAAAAAGAATCAGAATATTTCTGTTTTTTTTGTTTTCGGGCACAAAATGAGAAACACTTATATCTCTTAATAACTTTCCATCTCTACCATCATCACCACCACCACCACCATCATCCCAACACGACCACTGCCACCATTGTCGTCACTGTCGTCGTACCACTAGTGCTGTCGTGACCACCCCCACCACCACGATGCCACCGCCACCATCACCACTACCTCCACCCATCACTACTACCATGCCACCATCACCACCACCACAACTACCATCGTTGCAACCACCACCACCACTACCGCCATCAACCACCACCTCCATCATCGCAACCACTACTGCCACTGCCACCACCACCATCGCCACCATTACCACCACTGCTACCATCACCACCACTGTCACCAACCACCACTATCATTGTTGCAGCCACATCGACACCGCCGCCGCCGCCACCAACCACCACCACCATCGCCACCATTACACCACCCCTGCCACTACCGCCGCCACCACCACCACCACCACCACTGCCGCAGCCACTGCCACCACCACCACCATCTCCATGATGCCATCACAACCACCACCACCATGCCACCACTACCATTGTCGTCGCCACCAATGTCACCAACCACCATTGTCGTAGCCACTGCTGTCACCTCCACCACAACGCCATCGCTACCATCACCACCACTGTCACCAACCACCAGTATCATTGTTGCAGCCACCACCGACACTGCTGCCGCCACCACCACCACCATCGTCACAGTCACTACTGTCACCACCACCACCATCGTCACCATTACACCACCACCGCCACTATCACCACCACCACCAATGTCACCTACCACCGCAACCACTGCCACTGCCACCACCACCACCATCTCCATGATGCCATCACAACCACCACCACCATGCCACCGCTACCATTGTCGCTGCCACCAATGCCACCAACCACCATCCCCACCACCATTGTCACAGTCACTACCGTCACCTCCACCACCATCATCCCTACCAATACCACCGCCATCGCCGCAGCCATTGTCATCACAACCAGCACCACTATCATCACCACGTCAATACCACCACCATTGTCATACCGCAGCTGCCTCCACCACCATGCCACCCTCTGCCGCCGCCGCCACCACCACAACCACACCATATTGAAAGGAAAATGATGATCCAAAATTTTTTATATTTAATAGGAATTATTTTTTGTTATATTATTTGTTGTGTTATCAAACGCATTTTTCATTCTCGGAATAAAAATTGAATATGTTATCAAACACATTTTTTTTCTCAGAAACTGTTCCAAGAAACAGAAATAGAAAAGAATTGTTTCTTTTCAGAAATAGTGCTAGGGAATAGAATGGTTGTCATGCATAGGGTTGGCAGAACGGGCCAACCCGACCCAACCCGCATTCAACCCGGAAAAAACGAGTCGGGTTAGGGTTGGCTCGAAAAAAAAACGAGCCAGAAAATCCAACCCAACCTGACCCGAGTCGGGTTAGGGTTGGCTAAAAAATATGGCTCGTGGGTTGGCTTGAAAAAATAGCTCGCTAGTTAGCTCGAAAATAGGATTGTGGGTTGACTCGAAAATTGGCTCGCGAGTTGACTCATTTTCAGCCTATTTAAATGACCCTGTAGTATTAATGTACCAGCTATGTGGCTTCCATTAGCTTAAAAAAGGGTTACAAAATGAGAAATAAAAGCAAAATATTTTAGTTTCAAATTTTCTTCACAACAAATTTGCATCAACATCCAGAAACAATCAAAACGACTTGCTACCAAGTGGGTAAGATATTTGAACCAAACAAAGCCAGCACAGCCTAACAATATAAAAATGGTAGGGATGTGAGAAGATTAGGGACTTAGGTTTAGATAAGGAAGAAAAAAGATGACAATATGTGTGGGTTTTGTCCATTTTTCTATATTATATTTTGTATTTTTTTATTAAAAAAAAAAACTCAACCCGCGAGCTGGCTCGTTTGACCCGCGGGTTGGCTCGTTTTTTCACGAGTTGAAACGAGCCGGGTTGGCTCGGGTTGGCAGCTCATTTTTGCCAACCCAACCCAGCTTATTTTTTGCGGGTTACGAGCCAACCCGACGGGTTGGCTCGTTTTTGCCAACTCTAGTCATGCACACCCTTAATCTCATTGCACTCTTGCACATCCGTTTAAAAAATGATTATCTTAAATTAATTATGCGAATTATTAATAACTTTTAAAAATATTTATTTGATCCCTTTGAAAGAAAAATATGATTGTTTAAGAAGTGGGAAAACTAAATTATTAAAATTTTATTTTAGCTTAACGGAAAGAGTTCTGCTCCGACATATCCTTTGATGCAATGAGGAATTCAAAGCTACGTCATTCTTAAAAAAAAAAAAGATGGTGTGTTGATTTGATTTTAATTTTTGAAAATGATTCATTTAGAATTTTTACATTCAAGAGTTTCGGATTATCAAGTTATCGCAACTAAAATAATCTGAGATGATAATTGCAGGATTAACAAAATATCTCAACTCAACTAATCCCTTTAAAATTAAAGCATTTTTTTTAAAGAGCTTGGGTCATCAAGTTGTCACAACTAAAATGACCCAAAAATAAATGAGATTAACAAGGAGACACGCCTAAATTAATCCCTAATTATGAAAAACAAGTAAATTAATACAAAATAATAAATTTAAGATAATCTTGAGTCACCAAGCTGCCACAACTAAAATGATCCAAAAAACATGAGATTAACAAGGCATCATGCCTAAATTAATCCTTAATAAAATTTTAAACTATATAAAAATTAATAAAACAAATAAAGAGTATAATAAACACAACAATATGCAAAGAAATAAACAATTATAAGAAAATTTCTAACAAAACAAATAAAGAGCATAAAAGCATGCAACAAAAAGTAAATAATTATTAACTAAAGGTAAGTTGGACTACCTCAAATGTGACAAAATTTGATGTATGGAGCCAAGTTGTGGAGAGTTACTCCAATTCAACAACTTGATGCCAAGGTGACAA